AGAGAAGAGAGAGAGTTCAAACCAAATGATAATGATTTTTAAGTGGGATCAAGTTCCCCTTTGCTAAAATTCACCCGATATTAATTTATATAGGGTAGAAATACGTATTGAGCCGTTTTAACTGGATCCAAACATTCCCATTGTTTCCAGAACCAAACGGATGATCAGACAGAGCATCTTCGTATGACGTAAGACGAACGAGTTGTTACGAAATCCCAAGAATCATGTAAAAACACACACTAATCTTCCAAAAAAAAAATTGTAGTGTGGTTTTTAAGAAAGAGGAGAGTGATGTGAAGGTCCGAAACTCTTTTTCTGTTTTAGATCAGTACAAATCTAGGAATTTTCCGAGTAAAAGAGAAAAGGGGGACTTCTACGGTCAATGACCGAGACGCTCTCCTCGAATAAGGAAAAAAAAGGAGAATGTTAAACTATCAATAAGTTAAATCATCTCTATTTGTTTAACAGTTATTCTATAGACGTTAGTATCAACAAGAAGGGAATAAGAGATATTTCTTATCACCTCTTGGTTGCACGTAACACGTGGTTACGGCAATAAATCGCCTTGTTCATAGTCAAACTCGACGTTTGATATAAACAATAACTAAATAGTTGACCAGGTTAAAGAAATTATTGTCAAATGATTGTTAATTTATGGATGAGAGCCATCAAACCTATAGGAATTTATATCATAAAATCATATCATTTTGACACCAATAACAATAAATTAAACAAACTTCGCTGAGTCATTTGTCCGAACTAGTTAGATCCAAATATCAACACACTAGCAGGTGTGCGGATAAATCATGAATAACGTCATAGTTCTCACCCCCTCGAAATCAGTATAAAGAGGGCTCCCGGCCAGTATCGGGGTGGCCTCCAACTTAGAAGGAAATAACGGATTGACGATCCTCATCGCTGACCGCTAAAGACGGACAACACGGTTAGATTCTACGAGCTACAACTTAGTAAGTAGAACTTTCTCCCTTCTCTCAGGTGGACTAGGGCTAATACCTAAATAGATATTAAGAGGATCCAAGAATGTCCTCTATCGTAAATATGCGAGATGCATGCCGGAAAACCGCCTATTGTAACCTCGGTTAGAGATTAGTAGTATTTTTAATTATTGTAACCTTTTCATATATATCATTAGTTAATTAAATATATATATATGTTATTTTAAATATGTGTGTTTACTCGTACTCGGTCAACACCTTATCGACTTATCCGCGACCTCCCACTCGATTTTCGCCCTCCTAAATTGCCATCCACTGACCCTGTGAGCGGGACTCACCGCCCTGTTGTTGGAAAACGGTTTAGGCTTTGATGCATAAACCCCGATTCTCACAGATTTAATACTATCAATAATTAATAGTTTTTGAAAATAACATTTATCAATTACTGATTTAAATATTTTATTTTAATTCAAATGTTTTAGTTTTGGTAATACTTCATTTGTAATATTGTTTTATGCTACATTACTTTAACAATATTTTATCAAATAAAAGATTAAAAAATTTTTTAAATGTGTTTTTCTTTTATTTTTGTTCTTTGTCTTCTTGTATAATGTTTGAACCTGTCCCACAAATGTTCATGTCATGCCTGCTTGAAGTAATATAAATTCCTGAAACACTCTAGGCCAGGAGTGTCCAACCTTTTTGTTTCTCTGGGCCACATTGGAAGAAGTCATGGAGTTTTGGGCCACAAGTATATTATATATACTGTACTGTACTTGTGGCCCAATCCTTAAATATACTTATATATTTAAGGATTTATGTCGAGATTATAGTAATAAGTATTAAAACTTTATTACAAAAAAGGATATTTTAAAAAATTACTTCTACAGACACTTTTAATTTTTACTTAGAAATAGATAAATTCATTTAGTATAAAGGAGACAGACAAACATTTATTTGACAAACACAAATATTTGTTTTATTTGGGTCTCTAATTAATAAAAAATGACAAAACACCATTTTAAAGTGCATTTTTATTCAACNACAAATTCATTTAGTATAAAGGAGACAGACAAACATTTATTTGACAAACACAAATATTTGTTTTATTTGGGTCTCTAATTAATAAAAAATGACAAAACACCATTTTAAAGTGCATTTTTATTCAAATAATATATTTATAAATAATATGTAGCCCAAAAAGTAATCAGTGTGCCAAATGATATTTTTTATGCCAAACTAATAAAAGGGTAGCCAAATCTTGCAACGCTGGAAGGAATACTAAATAAAGCTGGAGTTGGGACTCAAAGGAATAATTATAGACCCAAAAGCACGGAAAGGAGAGAAAGGACAAAAGATAAAGAAGTGAGGAAGGTTGGAAAATGAAGGGTCAATATTTGCATAACAGAAAATCTATTTAACCTTTCTCACTACTTTTTATCTTTTGGCCTTTCTCTCCTTTCCCTGAATTTGATTTTAGACTTCTTTGAGTCACAACTCCAGCTTTATTTAGTATACCTTCCTCATTCACACATTTCCAAGTATTTGAAAATATTTCCCTTCCACTCAAAAATAAAATATGTATAAAGGTTTACGGCTTTGTGAAACTTCTTTTTTGAGTTTATGCCATTGAAATAAATAAAAAAATTTGTCGGTTTTGTTTACACGTTTATTGGGCCTCATTGGAACTTGCCTTGGGCTGCAGGTTGGACATCCCTGCTCTAGGCTTACCTTATTTAAGTAAAAGTTCTTTTCAGGACTAAAACATTTTATAAAGAGTAGCCAGATCAATAAAAATATACAGTAAAATCTCACTAAGTTGGACACCTGTGGTGAACATCCAAAGTGTCTGGGTTAGAGAGATGAGTGTTTCTGTAGACATGTACAGTACTGTACATACCTACAAATATACGAAGTTTTCTGCAACTGTTTTTCTAATATAATGAAGAAAGCATCAATTTTTAATATTATCACACAGTTTAATGACCAAAAGTGCATGCAAATATAATACTTTGTTTTATATAGTTCAATAAGGTAATGATGCCTTATTCATTACCTTATCATTAAACTAGCTTGTAAGGTATGAGTTGTAATATCTTTTCTACACCTATGTGAGAATCAGGATTTAGGGGGTCATTTTTAAAGAAATTAGTGATAAAAAGAACGACTTAATTTCAATTAGAAAATACTTTATAACTTTGACAAATTTTTCGAACAACGGATGTCAATACTTTCGATTTTGATAGGAAGTTCATATCCTTTCTTACGATGACTAGTAAGTCGAATCAGAAGCGGCCGCACATGAGACTTGGCTGTCTGTTAGGCCATTGACTCATATAAAAGGGACATTTTCCCGCCGCTCCAGGCAGTTCGATGAGGTACAAACATGCCATAGGAGGAAATTCATCTAAAGAAGTACTTGCCGTATAATATACGATGAAGGCCGTTCAAGTTAAAAGGACCACCACATAGAGGTCGACCATATTGTACACGAAATTAGTGATGGGAATAAAAACTTATACTGTTTCATTATCTCTCCTCGCTTTCCAGATATTATATTTTCATCGAAAGTAGACTTTTCGATGTAGTTTGTGGTCTCAGATATCCACCTTGCATAGAAGAAACTTATACTTTTCAATTTACAACCACTTGTGTCTTTGCAGCTTTGAATATTTTATCATAAAAACAAAAACATGCAAAGTACTTTTAAGAAAGGTTTATTAGCAAAATGCCACCTCTTGATGAATGAAACCTGCTGTTTCTTATACAACCTACAGAATAAAAATACTTTATTGTATTGAAATCATCCTCTTCACCAAGACAAAAATTTTCCCGTCTTGAAGCCATCCATTATCTAGCCATCTCATATCACCATTAATCCTCTGGGTTAGAGTCAAAAATTGAACAAACTTTTAATATAATTTTTATTATGTTAATATTGTACACAGAAGACTACCTTCAAAGTAAGTATCTTCTGTAGCTATACATGTTTGCTGACATTTATATTATTTATTCAAATGATCTTGTGGCCCATTCTGCATTATCTCCTTGAGTGCAATCATGACAACACTTTTCATGTAATCTGCTGATTTGAATCTGTGATATGTCAGTGGAACTTTCATTTTAGTGAAGATTTGAAATATGTAAGAGTGAAGTCTGATGCTTTAGAACACAGGTTCTCAAACTTATTTTGACCACCGCCAGTTTGAGATAAAAAAAAATTCTAGTGCCCCCATATTTTTTAACTTACCTTTTTACATTACCATCTGTTGTGTATCTTAAAAACAGTTATTGCAAATATAATGTTTAAACATGCATTATTATATGGATAGGATAGATAGGGTCTGACCCATATTTTATTTCTGAGATCAAAGAATGTTTCAATGAGAAGAAATAAAACTCTTATTTAATCACTGAGCCTCCAGTGCTCACAAGGGGGTGTTATCGCCCACTTTGAGAAAGGATGCTTTAGAACAACTACCTTCTAAAGCATATCTAACTGGTGTTTTACCAGATATTCACTAACTAGAAAAACGTAATGTGCCAAGGCATTGTGATAGAAAGTTCAGCTTTTTGCTTTCCAGAAATGAGGCAGTTTTAATCTTATTGCATCATAGAAATGATCAGGAATGTCAATGAAGGATGTGTTAGCGTGTCTACCATTGGAAACAAACTTGTGATGCAACAAGTTATATATATATATATATATATATCAAAGTTTTTATATCAAAAAAGCCACTAGCATTATCTTCCCTTTTTATCTGTCAAGAAAGAAATTTTTGTTGTGGTGAAGAGGCTGATTTCCATATTAATTAATAAAGTGAATTTGCTCTATGGATTGTACAAGAAACATCAACTTTCATTGCCAGTAATTACTCTGAATCTTTATCAACTTTCTTTCTGCTGAGTACATGTTCTTCATATTTCTCATCTGTTAATTTCCTCTGAATAAAATTAGAATATGTAGATTTATGTATAAAACAAATATGTCGATTTTATGTATTTATTTTAAATTTAAATTTAATAATTGTTGTTACAAAATAGGTACTTACCCGAAAAACAGGAATACCCATTACTTTATGCATAATTTATGCATCTATTGCAAGGAGGCTTGGTGTTGTTTGTCACCCTGTTAATTTTCCCGGACATTTTCTTCTGAAGTGGCAAGAACATCCCAGGTAGTTTCATAATTTAAGTTTTCTTAATAATCTCTCCATTATTTTAAAAGTTAAACTTTTGAAATAATGCTGAAATTAATTGAATATTTAAATTAAGTATTTTTTAATTTTAAAAATTATCATATAACTAAATGAATTTTTATCAATTTATAAAAACTAAAATGGTGCATGCAATATATCTGAGAGTTACACATAATTTTAATTTTAAATAAAAACTGCATTCCTTGTCCTTGATCTGAAATTATTGATATCCTATTATCATTATCATTATCTTCCAATTACATTTATTCTTATTAAAACATGTTTTTGCTTAACCAGGACTTTAGATGCAGTTAAAAGTTTATGGTACTGTACATGTGTTAGTGTGTATATAATGGATTCATCTAAGGATAAATTTGAATTGAACAATCTAGACAATACAGAAATGATAGTAATATTGTTTTGTGCAACATAGAGATGCATAAAGAGGAGTTGTAATACTTCTGACACTGCTCTTGAATTTATGTTGAATACTTCTAGTAAATAAAAAGTCATTTTGTACATTTGATTCAACAATCAGGAATGCCTAACTAGTGTTATATTTCATGCCAATTTCTTAAAAATATTCCAAAGTAACAATAAAATAAAATTCCTTGGAAATAATACTTTAAAAAAGTCATGATAATTTGCAAATATACCAAGAGTATCTGACAAATACATGGCATGCACTTGTGTTACATTTCCTATTGTATATGTTGCCAGCCAAATTTCAGGCCAAACGGGTCTATCCTATGCATGTCAGGATATACTAGTTTAGCCCAGGACAATGTAGTTTGGCCTAAATACTTTAAGCTTAACTAGTTTGACCTAGGCCGAACTGATTTAGAATTATTATTCAAGTATATTAATGGTTAAAATAAAATTAAAAGGCAATCAATTAGATGAACAATGTCTATTCAAACATAGTCTACTTAATTATAAAAAACGGTATTGATTAGAAGTGACACAACACTTGTACAAAACTATAAAATAAAAATAAGTTAATCAGTACTTATCAGTTTGTATTTTTTTTATTAAACCATGCACTTTTAAAGGTAATTAACTTTCGAAAATATTTTCAAAAATTCAAAGGAAATAATAAAAATAATTTTTAGTCAAACTAAAATTAAAAATGAACTTATTTGTGCTTCTTATAAAATATTAAAATATTCTTATAAAATTTGTGTAACATATAAAATATTTAATCTTTTATTTATTTTTACGGGGTGTACTGTGGCGGCATTTCAAATTACAGAAAATCCTTTTTTTTTTACACTGGCACTTATTTGCAGCACAGTTTTAGGTACAGGTGCACCTTGTCCTTCCCAACTGAATGTTTGGTAGCTGCAGTCCTTAGTGAGATTTGAACATCTTGATTAACATCACTTTCTTGTAGAAATTTTTGAGTACAATGGTCAAATTCAGTTCTGTAATAAACAAATATTTTATTTTGACCAAATTACATAACATACTTATGCTTTTTAGACCAAACAAAATGGTGTTTAACATTGCACTTTTTTTCTTCGAAGATCTTTATCAGGCCTTCATTATAAGTAAATATTATACAAAAACCCTATCTGAAAAAAATTCATAAAACTTGAAAACCTCCTCCAAATATAAAAACAATAATAATTGAAATTAGTTCAGATTTGACAGTGAAATAGAGTAACATGGTCATTACAAAAGAATTTCTTTTTTTGAAGTAATTTGAGAAAAAATAAATAATAAAATGCTTAATCTGCAATAGTGTCTGCAATATTCCATGCTTAGTTCCAATTTTGTACAGGCCATCATTGTTTATTTCAAGAACAACACCAATAACATTTCTTAGGTTGCCCCTTCCTCTGTCTACATCAGGAAAGGAAATTTTTTTTGCCTGTTTCTGAAGGTTCTCAGCAGCTGCTTATCTTTCCTTTTGGATATCATCACCAATTTTAGAAGTTTTGGTATCATTACCATCACTATTATCTCTTGAATCATTGCAATCATTTGTCTGTTTATGGGTTAAATCAGTTTCAATAAGTTTTTGAAGGTCATTCCTTTATTATTTCTGGTAGTAGTAATGTCATTGAAAGACCAACTCTGGGTTCAACTCCAAACATAGTTTTGTAAGGCGATTGTTTTATGCCCGAATGATAGGCCCTGTTTTTCATAAATTGTACATACCTCAAGCCTTCTAACCATTTAGTCAATTGATTATCTTTTAGCCAACAACTGATCATGTTCTCGACATCTTAGTTGGCTCTCTCGACGGAACTCTCACTTTGGCAGTGCCGTGGTTTTCCATGCACTAGTTTAAGTTCTGGCCAAAGACTCGTCATTTCACATATAATATAATTGACAAATTCTCTTCCATTGTCTGACTGCAAAATACATGGGGGCACCTATTGTCAAAAATGTCATTCAAATGATAGGCTACTTCTTCAGCTTGTTAAATTCCAAAGCATGAAGCAAAATAAACTTGGTCAAGGGGTCTTGGTAGACCATGATAAATTTAAACTTTCCATTAGGTTGAGTCTAAAAATCTATGAGATCCACTTGGCACCTACTGTTCATTCTAGAATGTAAAATTGGCTTAGAAAATAAACCTCTTTTTTTTTGTTTTCTTTTCTTGACATGTTATACACATAGATAAATAAAGGTTAATCATCTGTTTTGTGACATTGGCATATTTTAAAGATGTCTCAGCCAATAATCTGTCATATCCGCTGTGTTCGATAGCTCTGTGAGCTGCATCAATAACATCGAAAAGAAAAAAGCACAATGTTAAATGCCATTTTGTTTGGTCTAAAAAGCATAAGTATGTTATGTAATTTGGTCAAAATAAAATATTTGTTTATTACAGAACTGAATTTGACCATTGTACTCAAAAATTTCTACAAGAAAGTGATGTTAATCAAGATGTTCAAATCTCACTAAGGACTGCAGCTACCAAACATTCAGTTGGGATAGGACAAGGTTTTATGAGGTGCACCTGTACCAAAAACTGTGCTGCAAATAAGTGCCAGTGTAAAAAAAATGATTTTCTATAATTCGAAATGATGCCACAGTACACCCCGTAAAAATAAATAAAAGATTAAATACTTTATATGTTACACTAAGAAACACAAATAAGTACTGATTAACTTATTTTTATTTTATAGTTTTGTACAAGTATTGTGTCACTTCTAATCAATACCATTTTTTATAATTAAGTAGACTATGACATTAAAAGTGCTCAGCAAATAAACACAGAAAATAAAATACCTTAATTTGTTGCTGAGAAAAATGTAATTGAAAAACAAACGTTTTCAGCCTGATTAACAGGCCGTCATAAGGTCCAAAATCGAAAATGGAACAGATACGTTCCATGTATAGAATACAAATATTTAAATTAAAATTTAGAACAAAAATTTTTTAAAATATACAAGAGAAACGGAACAACATATAAAATTAACACAAAATAAAATAAAAAATATAAATCTTCCAATAAACTAATTCTAGCCAGAGTTTTTAGTGAACTTTTTAACCATGTACTTCCATGCTGACAACAGGCTCTCAGCATCTCTCGCATTTAAACATCCCTCACGTAGCCTACTTCTATATATTTCAATCTTCTCCACCGTCATTGATAAAGTGGGGGAAGATACAGGCTTTATAATTGTTGCCACGTTCCATTTTATTTTTCTCAGCAACAAATTAAGGTGTTTTATTTTCTAAGTAGACTATGTTTGAATAGATATTGTTCATCTAATTGATTGCCTTTTAATTTTATTTTAACCATTAATAAACTTGAATAATAATTCTAAATCACTTCGGCCTAGGCCAAACTAGATTGTCCTGGGCTAAACTAGTATATCCTGACATGCTGTAGGATAGACCCGTTTGGCCTGAAATCAGGTTTGGCTGGTAACATATACACTTCAGGATTAAGTACTTATCTGCATATGTTTTGATTACTTTTTGTTGTGTATTTAATTTTTATCCAATAATTATACAGATAAGTAATTTTGTTTGAAAAAGTTTATGTACTGATTATGATTCTGTATATCAAGTTGTAAAGGTAAAATTTAGACATTTTGAAAAAAATCTTTATTGACAATTAATTCAATGATTGCAGTTCAGTCTTGTAGGTAAACATCATTAATATCAATCGCACCTTGCCACTTTTGCTGCAAACTTATCCTGTGAACATAAAATGAACATAGAATGATGTTTCTATCTGTTATAAACAGGTAGAAATTTTTTACTAACATTTTCATCTGTTTATAACAGATGGAAATGTTAGTAAAAATATTATATAAAGCCTACTACTGCTAAAGCTAGGATTAACTGCTAATGTTAACTTTATCCAAGTGTTTTTTTTTTTATCAAAGCAAGTAACAGTCTGTTAATTTTGAATTTTATCTCTATAAAATATGCTTTGTCCAAGTCACTGGTGGATAAAGCTATTATTTGTAAATCCAACCTTTATCTTTTCTTGTTCATACATGTTGTTATTTAGTAACGTATGGCTGTATTAATATTTTTTACTAAAATTTAAAAAATAAAAAATCTTAGTGGAATAGATATACAAAAAGTATTAATATTTTTCATTATTTTAACCAATTTGATATGATTTAAAAAAGGTCTAGATATGATTTTAAAAAAATCCTGAAAAAATTGAGGCTATCATTAATTGAATTTTCTTCTCTTATTAACCAATGTTGAAATTAATGAAGTGGAAATTAACTAACAAATGAATTTTTTTATCAATAATAATGACTGACTGACTTAGTTTCATTTTGTAGTCAAATAGATACAATTCTCATTATAAATAATTCAATTATGAAATTGAGAAATCTATTTGATTCTGTTCTACTTTATTTTCAAAATAATCAATTCAAATAGCAATTAAATACAAAAACTAACATAAAACTTAGTGCATAAACAGACAATAAGTTATGAATTTAATCAATGTTCAATTAAAGTAAATGTTCTGAGTGGTAAAGTGCATTTTATAAATGAATTTTTTGGAATCTTTGAAAATATTGCAATTTCTTACAGTTTAATATTAAACATGTTCTAACTCTAACATTGCTTGAATTCAATTTCTTAATGAAGAGTGCTTCCTAAGAAGTATTTACTGTGAGCAGACATCTGGAGAAGTATTTACTGATTATTAGCTTCAGTTTGTAGTCATATTATCTCTGCAAATTATCTTGGTTTAGGCTTTTTTGACTGTTAAAATTCTTATATAGATTTAACAATGATTGTTTTATAAATCATCCTCCTTATTCTTCCTATAAGGATGATATTTGATTCCTATGAGGAGGTTTTAAAGCTGATTCTAACCTCTTTGATCTCCAGCAGATGGCAGTAAAAATTTAATGCTTTTCTATGGGAAAATACTCTTCCAAAACTTCTCAAAAACAGAAGTTGGTAGAACCAGAAGTACCCAAAGGAAGGCATAACTTGAAAATCATATATAAATATTTAAATAATAAGTACTGTTATTTAACGTGTGCACAGCAACTGTATTGCGGATGATAGGATAAACCATATTTGCCATTATAATTGTTATTTAAACTTCAAAACATTGTTTTTAAAATTTATATTAAAATTTTTTTGTGTTAATGGGGAAGCCTGTTAGCCCTTGTCTTGTAGTCTGATTTTATCTATATCAAATGGATCCAGTATATCATGGCTTGAATTCAAGAGACAAGTAGTTCAAACTTATCCTGTCACTTATTCAAAAAGACTTGGGCATTTTCTTGGTATTTTTGTAAATCTTTGTCCGATGACTATAATTATGATTAATTTTTTTGAAGACAAAGTCCTTCCCAAAATTTGGTATTTTGGTAATTACTTGGTATTTTCAAATTTGGTGCAACAAACTGATCTCCGAGATTCAATATGTCTGATTGGATCACATAGTATGGCTATCAGATAATCGTGCCAGATATACCCGTCAAGATGAAAACTACACTAAATGTGTACAAACTCGGTGCACAAAATATAACATTGGTCTTTGTCTTCAATGTTTGAAGTCATTTCACACTTGCTAATTGAACAAAAAAGTTTTTATCTTACATACATCTTAAAATATGAACTATTCAATAGTTGAAGAAATTATATTACAATTTACACTTTCATTATAAATTGTAAAATTATTTATTTACCAAAATAACGATTTTGTATATGCAAAATGGCCAGTTTCTTAATTACTACATATTAATACTCCTTCCAACAACCCTTGGCCATCCATCATATAAAATATTTACAAATACAGTAGAACCTCCATTATCTGGATTTTCGATTATCCGGATTGTTCAAAATAAACAAAAATTTTACGAATTTGCTGATTTGCACTTGGCGAATTACGACACTGTTTATGTACGTGATGGAATGCATAACTTTTTTTGTTTCAACAACGTCTCACCCAGCACAGTGGTCGTAAACTCTTAAATATATTTTACGTAGTAATAAAAATATAACTTGACATACGTATTTATAAATAATTTATATTCAAATTACATCATTTCTATGACCAAGGGCGGCGTAAGGCATGGACGACGTGGGCCACCGCCTATGCCTCGCGGTCCGAAGGGCCTCGCGCCTCGAAGGTTTATGCATTACTTAAAAGCCGCGAACGCGACGAAAAAATTTTACTCGTCATAAAACGATAAATAGTTTGTCAAATTTTTATTCATAAAAATGCAGTTTCAACTGCTTTTTATTTTATAAAATCCGTCTTCTTGCGCCACCAGAGGGCCTTTTAAACAATAGGTAGTCTGTTAGCGTTGGTCAGTAGTAGTCCAAATGCAATACAAACGTTTGTTTCTTGAAAATTTGATCACGATTTGAATACAGTATTTACTTTTAATATTACCGATATGTCATCGAAAAGAAAACGTGTTGTATTATCATTAAAAGACAAATTAAAGTATTGTTTCGATTATCCGGATTTTTCCTTATCCCCAATTAGTCTGGATAATCGAGGTTCTACTGTATATATAGATATATATCTGTTAAAATACTTTAACAGATATATATCAATAACATGGAAAATAGATATATATGTAAAAATAAAAACAGAAAAGCAATGAAACTCTTGAAGCAATACCATACACGAGCCTAGCAACATATTTATGTAATATAATACTAAAAACTTGATGTTTAATAATTGTTTTGAATGGATGCAACTAATTTGTTAATGAAGAAAAACTATAAAATTTTATGAAAAAAAATGCAGTCCTTAATGGGTCAAATAGGATTCTAACACAGAATCAAACAATTTTATAACTTCTATTTTTAACAACTTTTGGAAAAAATTTTCCTATTAAAAGTTTAATGCCATCCGCTAAAAATTGCATGTATAACCAAAGAGGTTGCAATCAGCCTTAAGCATTTTTAGATTAGTATTTCTGCATATGAAAACAATTAAAGTAAAACCTTGTTATTTCAAAACTTGAAGGACCCAAAAAAGCAATCAAATTATCCAAAGTTTTTCAAATTGAAGTTTTGTGTAACTCTCGAATAAAATTATGATATTATCTTTTCTAAATGAACTGGTGAAATTATATGTGTGTTAATATTATGAGTTATTACTTAGTTTTTTTAAATAGCTTGAATTACTGTCAGTTGGTGTGTACTTAATGAAAACAACAAAAATATAACCAAATTACACTCAAAGAAAGACCCAAAAATAATGTACTAAAGAAGCTTAATGCTGTGTACACACTAGGTGTTTTTAAACGTGCGTTTAACGCACGTTTTAAAGAACCCAAGAGTTCTACATAGGCGTACACACTCAAACGCGTGTGGTAAATGTGCGTTTATAGATTTTTCTTAAAACGCGCGTTTTGCGGGCATTAGCCAAGCGCTTTCAGATATATGTGCTGCCATGTTACTGTACATGCGATCGCACGCTTTCGGGTAGAGTGGACGTACGTTGGCCAAAATGGAGAACGATCATTTCGATACTGATCTATTTATTGATGAAATCTAAAAGAGACCAACCATTGTCAAAGGATTTTATAGATATTTTAAAAGAATTAAAAAACTTGGGTTTATTTTGTCTTAGTTTTGGATACAACGTCACAAACATTCCATGTGTCAGTCTATCTCATAATATTGGGTGCACCCAAAATTCTCTTTGCCTCTGCCATCATCTTTTATAGCGATGATGGAGGAGGGGCACACAATCAATTACTTTCACGTCCATTTCCAAACTGAGCCAGTGCTAATGCCGAACTAACTCTCGTCGAACGCCGAGCTAACACGCGTTTAAAAACGCCTAGTGTATACTCAGCCTAAGTGCTTCTAAAAGAATTAGCATGAATTTTATCTAGAGGATCAATGGCTAGTTCTATGAAGAATTAATTCACAGGTCTTAAGTTTGAGATTACAAAATTTGTGATTTGATGAAAACAAGTTCTATTAACGTCTATTGCTATAAGTATGCTCTATCACGAATATGCATGTGTATTTAATGGACTTTGGACATTTTCCACAAACTATTTGGAACTATTGTTTCAATAATTCCAAAGTAATTAAAATGCCAAATAGATTTCTTCTATAAAAATAAAAAAAAATTTTAAAAATCTCTCAGTTGGCAATGCGTAAAAGGTCCAAACAATCTCAAATGGACAATGTATAATTGGTGAAACCAAAACCTTGGGCATGGAAACTTTCTTATAAACACGTAATACGATGGAAGATTTCAAATTAAACAATACTTTTGTGGGTCTCCAGACTGGAAAATGACTTTGAATTTCATTGTATGCAAACTCTTATTCTTGACTTTGAATTATCCAATATCAAAATAACAAGGTTTTACTGTATGCAGAATTAAATGTATTTTTCTATCAATTAGTGAAATTGTCATTATTTTAAATATTTTTTTTTTTTAATTTAATATAATATGTTAATACAAGTAAAATAGTGAAGCCATGTCTCGGAGAGCGCAAGCAACACATGCGTAAATCTCGCACTCACGCCTGTTTGTAGAAACAGTCTCATCATTTGGTATTTTCTTTTGACCCAGTTCTCGGTCCCCTGACTACTTACAAGTCTGGTTTATTTTATGTGCACATGATTTGGGCACCAAATACTCTGTGCTAAATTACAACTCCTGACACTCCTTCATACCTCTAAAGTGTGCAGCCATTGACAGCAGCATGATTTTAGAGATGAGACATATTCTCATCATTAGCACAAATAAAATTTTATATTATGACTTGATTTTAAATCTTAAATATATTTTCATTTTATTCTTTCTTTTATTTTAGTTTGCCAACAGATCAGAAGTATACTTTTATTGATGCTTTTGATTATGGAAAATTTTTAAGTCAGAAAGATTGCAAAGATTTAGTACCTGGTTATTATTCTCCAATGGCAGAAAATTGGTATAATACAATTGAGCCAATTCAGGTAAATCTTCATTATTTATTTCTATTTATTTTGAGATACTTACTATCGCAATAAATTTAGGTTTTTAAAAGAATGTGCTGGAATCTTGTTGATGTGGGAAGACAGCAAGAAAGTATGGGAGACGGATTAATGTGTCTTCGAAATGCCTTGGAGCTCCTTGCCATTCTTAGCCCAGACGATGTAGAACATCAGTTGCTACTTGCTCGGGTATATCTACATCTGAACATTAATTTAACAAAAGTAATTCAATATTTATAAAATATGACTTTTTAAAATTTTATTATTTAACGATTGTATTAAATACAGAAAATTAATATGAAATATATCCTCAACAGGTAATGTCGCTTCTCCAAGGAATATCGTCTCGAGATCCCACTTCGGTAGGAATCGTGGATTATGTTTGTCAAGCGGCCCAAAGCCAAATGGCTCTACAAAGGAGTCATCAACAGACTAAAAAGGTTGAAGTGTGAATAGATTATTTTTTTCTAATATTCTTTAAAATAAACATATAATTACTACTAATAAATTGAATAAATTGTCATGAGAATTAAATATTTTCATATATTAAAAACAAAATCAGTTGATAATATAATTGGAAATCAATATATAATTTGCAGAACAAACAGAAATTTTATGTTAATTATATATATGAATTTTAGGTCAAAATAAAACACCGTAACAACAATCTGAACATTGAATATGCAGTTGGAATGATTATGAGACACAAAAAGTAAGAACATATATAATAAAAATGTTATATTTATTGAAAATTATAATGTTATATTTGTATCTAAAATATTAACTATAAAATATCTCAACAAAAATTTCACCCAATGACACAATCACCTTATGTATCTGAGAACTAACATTATTCTCCTATAAACGTTTTCTACCTGCTCCACAGGTCATCCTCATGTATTTTTGAAATTTTGGAATGTTTCTTTGCATCGGTTCCAGTTCAAACATTTATGTGAAACAAAATTCAAATTTCTATAAATGTTCGAACAATTCATTTCAATATAAATATATAAAAGATACATAGAAAATAAGCAAATACTTGAAACCAAGTGAAGTAAATAATATAAAATAAAATAAAACACAATAAACCTGATTATATGGACTGAGTGTGTGCCATACAACATTATACTGGGTTATTATCAATCATATACTTCCATGCTGTTGGTAAATTTGTGGCGTCCTTATAGTTCAAACATTTGCCCGAATTGTCGGATCTATATATTTCAAATTTTTTCAAAGATAGTGCTAAAGATGGTGCGTGCACATGTCTAATAATCCTAGCTTCATTCCAATCAATCACTGAACTCTCAGTTTGTGCCACTTTGGACAGTGCTGTACTGTAGTGCCCTTTACTTATATACATGCTCCTTAAGCCTTTTACTCAACCTCCTGTTGGTGACACCAATATACTCTTTATTTAGCCCTAGTTCATCATTTTTGTATGGTATTCTGTATACCCCAGACTGCTCCTCCTCCTTTATTCTATCCTTGTCATTTCTAAGTAGACAGTAATATATAAACGGGCTCCCACAATTTAATCTTGTACTCTTGTAGTTAGCTACTTCCTCCATGATACTGGACACTCCTCTACCATATGTGAATTTAGTAATTTCTTTGTTTGTATTCTCTTTTGCCTTCTTTTTATTAGATACTGAATACGATCTTATTAACTTTTCAACAATTTCTGTTTTAAATCCTAAGGATCCAGCAACTGTTCTGATCCTATTTAACTCTTGTTATCTATCATATATATATTAGAACAGTAATTAAATGCCCTTGTAATAAGAGCTCTAAATGTCGATAGTTTGTAAGCAGCCGGATCATTGGATGAGGAAGGAATGTGATTGTGTCATTGTATGCAAAGAATCTGAGTGTTTATTGAAGTTTAAAAATTTCGCCTTCTAAATGAAATCATATGATTACTTAAAATTTTCTTTGTCTGATCAAAGTATTCAATAAATCTTCAGTTGATACCTTTTAATATACAGAAATTTATTATTAATTAATTTAAACAAATTGAAATTTTAACATTATATTGATGCAGAATGTGTCATAGCAATAAAAATTAGTAGTAGTGTACTAAAATTTTAATGTCTTATTGTTTTAGTAGTGTAAATTGATTAAATATATCTTTCAGATATAATTATATCTGTGTTATTTACGGTTGGGATCCTATTTGTGAAGCTAGTCGAGATTGGATATATCAAATGGGAGTGTATAATTTACCCCATAAAGAAAAACAACCTTTTTATAATGTTTTAGTCGAAGATGGTTCCAATCGCTATGCAGCTCAAGGTAAATTATTCCGGAAAAATTTAATGTTTTTGTTTATTCATAGTATTTAAATGATGTTACTTACAATTCACAAAATATTTTATAATTACAACAGAATTGTTAAAATTTTTAAGGAACACACTAATTTCCAAAAGATAGAAAAATTTTATCTATTAATACGTGATAGGTATGTGTTGTTCAAATGAAATATGGATAAGACTGAATTTCAATGTTGGTTTATTAAATGTCACTATGGTGATACCATCATGGCAATTTTGTTTATCTATTTTTAATGTAACATATATTCATCTCAAGCATTCCGACATTTGTTCCATTAATTGCATTAGTTTGTGGATGCTATCTACATATAAGGTGAGTGACTGCTGAATGAATTACCCTTTCAGATGTCTAAGCTAATAAGGACTAACATGAATTGGAACTGAAAATGAGCAGAGACTTTCCAATGGAAGTGTGCAATGCTTGTGTTATGGTTGGGGATGTGTGGCTAGGCTTCTTCAGGTACTATCATTGCATGTTGGCAGCCTGGATGCTTTCGTTTTAATAACATGGTGGAGTCTATTCAAAATATAAATGTCTAATTTGTTAGTTGCTGCATTGTGTAGTAGCCAATAAATTAGTATGTGTGCTCTTTTTATTGAAAAAGGTGAACATGATCCAACGTGCATTATTGAAACAATGGCTTTCTTTGATAACATTGTTGTAATGTGCATTTTTTGGAGTCAGTGACAAAATACTAAGTATACAATGACAATACTATCTTTTGTTATTGGTAAAGAAGTATAATAGAACCTTGTTTCTAGCTTTTGGTAACATGTAATGTCTTCAACATAGCACTCACTGTGTTGTTTCTCCAATAATTATTTTGCAAATCTGTTGCATGAATATCTTTTTGAGAATCATAATCTTGGATGATATTGCAAATGGAGCCTATGCTAATGTTTAGCTTTGTCAACAATTACCATATTGCCCATTGGTACAATAGTTTCTTGTATGATTGTCCCAGTTGTGGAAAGTTCATCATATATTCATGTCCTCGAAGCTCTTTGTACCATTTGAACACACTACTGCATGTGAAGCAAGTTTCTCCATATCTTTTGATTTCAAAATCTTGACAAGCCTAGCATTATTTTTGGTCAAGAACTAGATTACTATAGCATTGATTTTCTCTAGTTGTGGACGACAATATCATGACTTGTAAGATGCTCTCTCTCAAGTCTACATTTCATTTGAATGACCCATATATATTAAAGTGAAAAGAATGTTTTTTAATGTGCTTCCATTTCAGATAATATTGATTACGAGAGATCTTTGAGTCAAACAGTTTAAATATTTCTCATTTAAATATTATTTTGTTTACAGAAAATCTTGAACTAACTGAATATCCAAAACCTATATCACACCCAGAAATAGGAAAATATTTTCAACATTATTGTACTACTCATTATGTGCCAAATGAAGAAAAAGAAGCTGAATATCCAGAAGATAAATCTATAAGAGAAGAAGTCATTGCAAAACATTTTCCACAAGAAAGAGAAGATTAGATTATCTAAATTTCATCTTGTAAAGTAAACATTTTGCATTCAAGATTTATCATTCCACTTTTGGAAAAAAAAATGTGATTTCTCTAATCTATTTATGAAGAGAGGGATATATTCTTGAAGCAGATAAGATTTTAATATGATGTACATATGAATACTTGAACATATTGCATCTTTGTATCATATGGATTGTTAAATGAACTAATAACTGCAATTTATATAAAGCCACTAATATTTTAACATTTCCATCTGCTTAAAATTATTCTTAATCAGTGCAATGTTTTGGTATTGTGATTAATTTTTTTAAAATAAATCACTAATGCATATGAAATTGAAATTATATGCATTATTTTGCCACTTTTTACCAAAAATATATGTATAGAATGTTCTGTAAAAAGTGGAAATTTATTTTGTTTAATGTAAAGTCATTTTCCATTATTAAAAAGTGCAATTTAATGAAATTGCATTAAATTGTTTGAATTTACACTTTGGTATGTATGATAAAAATAAAAATTTTTTATTAAATTTTAATTGTTTCTTTTTAATTTTGTTACTTTAACGGTAAGCATTGAACTTCGTCAATATATATGAGAGATTCCTTGCAAATATTTTCAATATTCAGGTGGACACTACAAAGAGATCTGAGCATATTCTTTGCCCACTTTGTTCAAGTCTGTAGCTGTTGTATGGAGTCACTGAAGTGAATTATCTGTAAAAATGTATTAAATTTTGTTTTCATTAATTAATATTTTAAATATTTGCTTCTCGTTGAAGTTCTAATTCAATTTTATCTCTGCAAAGTTTAATATGTGGCCTATATCTTCTTTCATTTCATCTTACTTGTGATTGTGAAAGTCCAGATAATTTTAAATCAGATTCTTGGATTTTGAGAACTTAATTATGAACAAATAAATTTGAAATTGCTTTAAGTAATAAAACAGATTAAAAACTGGTTTATTTATGTGAATAAAATAATTACCTTTACTAAATCCTTTTCTAATATACTTTTTGCCTGTCTTGTCCTATTCTATCCTTCATAGACAATATAATCTTATCTATGTAAAATGTCTCTGTAATCCAAAAATTATGATCGACGGACTCTCAGCAAATTTTTGGTTAGGAACTATGATTTTATTATTGTGTACTGGCACAATGAAGTGACGTTTTTCTCAACACTGGGCTAGTTGAATCTTTTATTTAGTTAGAACGTTTTTTCCATACATCAACGTTTTGGGCATCAGCCCCTCTTCAGCTAACTAAATTTTAGTTAGCTGAAGAGGGGCTGATGCCCGAAACGTTGATGTATGGAAAAAACGTTCTAACTAAATAAAAGATTCAACTAGCCCAGTGTTCAGAAAAACGTCACTTCATTGTGCCAGTACACAATAAGCAAATACAACACGGTTTCGACAACATCAATATGATTTTATTCTTAAATTAAATTACATATGCATTTCAGGTTAGTGCAATATATCCCAACCTCTCCTCAATGCTAATTTTAAAAATAATAATAACAAAATTGTCAGAATATGACATAAGTTCCTAACCGAAAATTTGCTGAGAGTCCATCTGTCATAATTTTTTGGATTACAGAGATGTTTTACATAGATATCTAATATACAGCAATCCAATTTATATTGTGAATATAATCTTATAATTCTCATTCAGTATTCCTTTTGCTTTGGTATAAAGTTTTTGAGAGATTCTTGTTCTTCAGCTCTTGATGTTATGTTATACAAAATCCCAGCCAATCTATTTTGTTCTAAGATAACTTTTCAAAACATAAGATTAAAACTGTTATTATGTGTGTTTTTCAACACAGAATCCAGGTTGTAGCTCTAATGGTGGTTTAGGAAGTGAAATATTTTCTGTAATCATANTATATATATAGCAGAACAGCTTTTCAGTAGTAAAAGACCATGTGGCACTACTTTAATAAAATAAGGCTAGAGTATTTTTATGTAAATCCTATGTAAAAAATTTTACATTTGTAAAGGAATACTATGGATAATTAATCTTCAGATTTATCATTTACAGCCTTATGATTTTTCACCAGACACACTAAATTATTGTAAATTATTTGTGTGTAAATATGTTTAAGAATCTCATGACCATAGAAAAAGTCATAGAGGGCCACAAGCAGGTTGCTCACTATTCTAGAGCAGGGCTGCGCAACCTTTTCATGTGCATGAACTACTTTTATACTATAGACAACAACACAATCTACTTACACACCACTGACATAGGATTTTCATCCAGTGGATTGTTTTGCTGGTAACACCACCATACTACTGACATCTAGTGAGATATCACACTGCCTTGTATCATTCTTTCCACACTAACTTCACTTATTTTGCCATACTTCTTACTATTGATAGAATCAACAATATGTAGTATATTTAATAGATGGATTGTTTAGATGATTGTTTAGATGGAGAGCATGCAACAGACTGATTGGGCAGCACATTTAGCCAAAATATTTGAGTTATGTTTAATAAATCAATTGATATTTGTTTTTTTTTTAAACTGTTAATTTTAGTATCTTTAAATTTCACTGTATCTTTTAAAACAAATACAGGAGCATCATATATATATATATATGTCTAATGCAGAAAATTTAATCTAAACAAACTTAAAAATTAAAGTCCTGTCTAATCTGAAACAAAAAGTTTTCTTTATATTTTTTTCTGTATAAAAATCTGTTGCTAGAACAGCATAGTTTATTCCTTGTTTTCCAAATTGAGAGTTCAAATGCTGTTTTAGTTGTGGCTGTTTTGAGTTTGTAAGTGTTTAATTTATAAGATTATGGTTATAAGTGCTCCTCCTAAATAGTAAAAATGTTTCATTTTTATACTAAAACTGCCTAGTGAATATTCTACCTTATCTGTCCCATTAGAACTTACATTAAATAACATAAAGATTTAATTAATTCTTGAAAATAACCCAGTACTTTTTGTAAAATTTATGATTTCTCATCCACTCTTTCAATTCCTCACCAATCTCTTCTATAAAATTGATAGAAAATTTATAATAATAATTATAGCATCCTGAAACCCAAACGCGACAGGGTTGTAAATTTTAACCGTTTCTCACCATAGGTGTAAAAATCCTAAATATGTTAAACGTAATAGATTGTCCGCCATTTGTTTTGTAATTCGTTTTAGGACCAGGTGTTGTCCACGGAAATTTACAACTTTTCAGTCACTTGTTGAACTAGAAAAACGTCTGTCTTTATTACATCTAATATTTCGAAGAAATCAGTCCCACTGTACTCGGCTAGAGATTGGTTCGGTTAGGCTTTTGTTTAAGTAAAATTTCGGCTCTTTCGTCAGTGTTTTGTTTATGTCCCCAATTCCCTAATCGCTTAATTATTTAACTACTTCTTAAGTAAAAATAAGTCGAAACCAGTTACTTTGTAGTCTTAAGAAAAAAGTGGAAAGACAAATTTTTATGACAAACGGATATAAAAATCGTAAATTTAAGGAAAATAAACTCTAGAGCTTTTTCTGTACCTCGTGCATCTCATTCATTAAATTCAGTTGTAAATGATGCTACCAAAGTAACAGTTAATTTTTTAATATTATACAAGAATTGTACACGTTTTTTTTCTACATCCCCTTAAAGAAGGGACATACGAAATCGTAATGTCACTGGTTTAACATCGAAATCCGTGAGTAATATAAAATGGGAGAGCGGAATAAAAATATCAAATATTTTAATGGATTTTTTAAACTCCTGTCAACTATACAGAACTATCATAAAAACATAACCCAACTGATAAGAATTTACTGGTAAGTTATAAATCTACTCGTTATTCGCGTAATCGGGAGAGGGCGGCCAAATATCTAGCGGGCAGGCGGGCGGCTAACAGCCCGGAACCGATCCTGGATAGAACTGGATGCGGTATACGTGTAGCACCCATCCGAGGTCCTAGGCTTCCGCCAGCTAAACCGGGTGAGGTTGGTGTTCTGTAAAGCGCATGCGCGAATCTGGCTTTTTGGATGCCGACGATACAGCGCTTCCATTCCACCACTAATACTGTATTCGAATATACAATAGCAATCTTTTTTTTTTCACGTGTAGTATAGAAATTTGTAATCAGATACATAATGCGGTTATAATAAAATGTGCGATTATTTTCATAAAATTAATATGTAATTATTTTTTAGAAAATACAAGGGAAGCGGCGCCTCCACTGCTTCTAATGACGGCACGCCACTGATTTTGAATTAGTATGTTTTTTAGACATTGGCACACATCATAGAAACGTACAGTCGACCCCCCTATAAGATAGAGATACGTTCCATTCTCTAGGAATCCGCTTTCTTACGAATCCTTCCAATCACAACCCGACACGTATCAAGTTTACGGACTACGGCTGTTTGAAAGATTTTCTTCCATAAAATTAATCGATTCTAGACTAATCCGACTCAACATTTCCAAAATACGTATATATTTTTTGGGAATAATCCGTATAAACTACGCTATAAACAAAAAATTGTAGGATTACTTACCGAGTGTCACCATTCGACATTGCCATTGCTCAACATTGTTTTCGTCGCGGAACAGCTCAGCAAAGAGCGGCCGATTTCTAACAACTTATTTTTCTGTGAAAACTTCGTAGAACTTCGGAGACATCATTAATATAAATAATTTTAATCGCCGTTGAATAAGAAATGTTTCTTTCACAAGAAATGTATAAAATTACAGTACTGTATTAGACTTACGGTACCTAATTTACATACTGACAGACGATAGTTAGCGTAAAAATCTCCGTAGCGTGGCGCCACGCTAGACGGCGGAAATTATATATTTAATTATAACAAAGTTACAATAAGTTAATATATAATTATATATACAGTACCTAATTTATATATAATTAATATATAATTATATGTACAGTACCTAATTTATATATAATTTATATAATACTGTCCAGACGATAGAAATCTCTCCGTAGCGTGGCGCTACGGACGGCGGGAAAGTAGTTCGGCTTCCCGATGACGTTTGAGGTGTTTATAGGGAACTTTTACTATTTTTTACGGATACCGGTAGCAATTTTTTCGTAGTTTTATAGGAATCGTAACTATAGGGACCGTAATTATAGGGGGGTCGACTGTAATAGAAAATCACTTTGTCGTCATGATAAACATCAGCTGTCACGTGACAAAAGAAACACGTGCTTTTACAGAGCGATGTTTACATATTATTTCTTTTATATTTTCTAAATAAATCAAGAAAATAAACTTTGAAGAAATATAAGAAGCGATGACAACATACAGCTAAAAGCATTAATTTATACAAAAACAAACATGAAAAAATTTATATTAATTAAGAACAAGTTAAGGAATCAATTTAATAATCCTATTGATAAGCCAAGATCAGGATCCGCTAAGTACGGATGTCCATTAAATCCAGGCTGCTTCATATTTCCAGATAATTTCTACCCACTCATTGTAAATAATTC